TTATGTACTTAACAATCACGAGGCCAGATATCATGTTCGCAACAGGAGTAATGAGTCGGTTCATGGAGAATGCACAGAAGCTTCACTCAGATGCAATACAACACATATTATTGTGGTACTTAAAAGGACCTTTGGATTTCGGCATATTTTATATATAAAAAAAAGATATATCATTTGAAGTGGTAGCTAGGCCACTGTGATGCTAATTATGCTAGAGATCATGATACATGTCGCTCTACCACTAGTTACACATTTAGTCTTGGAATGGGCATTGTGTCATGGTGTAGAAAAAGATAACTAATGGTGTCATTATCAATTACAGAAGTAGAATATAGAGCAGCAGAAATGCCAGCTCAAGAAAGTGCATGGTTGATGCAACTTCTAAAAGATCTTCATCAACCAACTGACCAGCCAGTGACATTACATTGTGATAACCAATCAGCAATACAACTCGCGGAGAACCTAATCTTTCACGCGAGGACAAAACATGTGAAGGTTCATGATCACTTCATACGAGAAAATGTCCTTAGAAGAGATATTGAGATGATGTACGTCATGACAAAAGATCAAATTGCTGATTTGTTCACTAGAGGATTAAACCCTATGCCGTTCGAGAGCTTGAGGGATCAACTTGACATGGTTGCAAGATCAACACTAAGATAGAATAGCCGTTGACGGGGAGGGTTGAAAAACCAACGACTCTCTAGAATCTTCTATAACCTTCTTTATTAAGTTCTTTAGATGGTTTAGAATTCTTTAGAAACAATAGTTAGCTAGAAACAATCTAGAATGTAATTAATATGAAAGTTAGTTAAGACACTCTAGAATGTAATTAATACTACCCCGTCCCGTAAAGAAGTTCTCACTTTCTTTTTATGGATGTCCCAAAAGAAGTTCTCGTTTCCATAAAAGGTACCCACTTTCATCCCAAAAGTCACAACTACCCTTACTTTTTACCTACTTTTTGCTTGATTTGACATAAAGTAAGGGTAAACTTGGAAAGTCAAAACAAAACTCTAGCTTACATAAATATGTGTGTAGGTCAAACCGAGAACTTCATTGCGGGACGGAGGGAGTATGTGAAGTTCTAGAAACACTCTAACCTCATTAGGCTAGTATAAATAGAGGATGAACACAACTCCTTCACGGCCAAGTGAGTGAAGCATCCTCAAGAATGAGAGTAAGAGAGACTCTCCATCTTTATATTATATATTAATAAAATTGCATGTCTTTAGTTCCTCCAAATCTTTACAAACAATCCATTTATAATCATCAAGTAAAATACGAAGTACTGTTTTGCCTTATAATTTCGTTTCAACCAATGCTCATTGTGACAGCCAGATCAGAGTTACTGACAATTACAAAATTGATTCAATAATCAGTATATACTTTATACACCATTGACCATGTCACAATATATACAAGCAATCTCATTTATGGAAGCTATATTTGGACATGAGATCAATTGTCTTTTTACAACAATTTATATTGATGGATATATCAATAGGGTAAAAATTCGAACTAATTCATGCTAACCAATTAGCTGAATCGGTCGGATATGTGTTCATTTTCTTCTAGTAGCATATATTACTGTAAACGATGACAAAAAAGAATTGGAAAAATATCATTCATTCAATTTCCTTTACGTTACGTTTGATCTCTAAATCATCACGTCGAAGTATTAATTATCCGCTCAAACACAATAATACTCGGTAGTCCTAAAATTGTCTATTAAAAATAACACTCCGTTAATTATACTCCGTATATGTGTCATTCCGTAGAAAATATAACAAAAAAAAATCATCATTTATCATTATCTCATCAAATTTTGATTCTAGCTATCCGTGTTTTGTTATACGGAGTAGGATTTATGAAAGTAATTGTACTAGTGTACGTAAGAAATACGGAGCACTAGTGTACTACGAATAAATTCATTCACATGTTCCGTGTACGGTAGGATAGTTTTGTTTTACAACTTACAAGGCTGAGTTTTCCGGTGCAACAGCAACCTTAGCTTGTACTGTACTACGTATGAGTTATATATTTGCTTTAAATTTGTTTCAAAATAAAAATCAATTATAGTGTGAATTTTCTCTTTGAAAAAACATCAAATTATATTAATTTACCCAATGGTACGGTTTGCCAAATTAGTCAATAATTCAAAATCCAACTATTTTCTAACAAAACCCATCTAAAGAAGCGCTCGAACTGCTGACCACCACACAACTAATAAGGATGTTTTTACTTGGACTGTAATTTGCCGGTCTGGTCTGGTCTGATCTGGTCTGATCTGGTCTGGTCTGGTAAGGTCTGGTTTCTTTGTATTTTTATAACTATCCAAGTCTGGTCTGGTCTGGTCTGAACTGGTCTGGTCTGGTCTGGATTGGTCTGGTCTGGTCTGGGGCAAATTACAGTCCAAGTAAAAACATCCTAACAAATTAACAAACTCAAAATAGCATATTTATCCATTCACCCTCTTGGCTATTGTAACTTGCCAATGGCCTTATTGGGAAATTAAAGGCATAGGCTCTGTTTGCAATCTCTTTTGATAGGTGTTTTTGACTTTTTTTTTAAAGAAAAAAAGCACTTATTTTACCAAACACTACCAATTTTTACTATCTCGGTTTTCATGTAGAATCTACTTTTTACTTTTTCTATTACACAAAAAGCACTTATTTTACCAAACACTACCAACTTTTACTACTAATCACTTTTTTCCCAAAAAGTGCTTTTATTTAAGTACAAGTAATTGCAAACAAAGGCATAATAAAGCGGAAATGAGTAGCAAAGCCATCTTTGCTTTCCACTAGCGTGCATGTTTTTAGACGGTGGTAGTCTAATCTGTAAATATACGTCGTAATAATTTTATAATTATGTCCGTACTTGTTTTAATTCACAGTCACACTACGTACTCCTTAGTTACTACTCCGTATGTAGCTCCGTATGTAGTAGACCCGCACAGGTAGCTCAGTTGGTCGAGTGGTGGGAAATTTGGATTAATGGACCAAGATTCGAATCCTCGCAGTGACCGGGTGGAGGTTACAGAACCTGAAATAAGGCTGGATCTCTGGCGCGCACGGGTGTATGACCTACCGCCACTTTGCTGACTGAGTCACCGTGAGTTACTCCTTCACCATCCTGTCGGGTCGGGGTGTGGGGGCTCCTGAGGTGGGAGATTCCACCTTTTCAATCAATAGTTACTAGCCCTTACTACGTAGTAGTTCGTATCACATAGTGCCCGTTTAGTGACACTGTTTTTCAGTTTATCAGGTTTATTAACCATTTTTTCACCACACACGCAATTCTTGATTTCGCACGCTGTATTGTGTAATAATAAGAAGAAAAAGTAAGGTTGAAGTTACTTTTCTGGTTGAAGTAAAAGTAAGGTTGAAGTTACTTTTCTGGTTGTGTAATAATAAGAAGAAAAAGTAAGGTTGAAGTTGCTGTAGAGAATCATTTTACCTGTTTTTCATACAATTGTTTCTTTATTATATTAATGGAAATATTTTAATTTTTTTTTCATAAATTAGCAGAAACAACCAATTTTCAACCATTTCAGGCAGAACTTCATAAATTTCAGAAGAATCAACCGGTTAATTCGATTGTTACCAAACGCGTTCTTATAGTCCCATTGGTCATATACACTACTATCAAAAGTTGGAATCATTTTTAGACAAAATTTGAATTGAATAATTAATTAATTATATGCATGTGAAAAACATTAGGAGCCCGTTTGGTAACACGAAAATTGGCTGGTTTGGCTGATTCTGCTGAAATTTATGAAGTTCTGGCTGAAGTGGTTGCATTGGCTGATTCTGCTGTTTTAAGAAAAAATTATTTTTAAAATATATTTTATGTATAAAATAAAGAAAAAATTATATGTAAAATAGCTAAAATGATCATCTACAGTAACATCAACCAATATACACAGCTAGAAAAGTAACTTCAACCTTACTTTTTCTGCTTATTACACAATTCAACGCGGGAAAACAAAAGTTACGTGTTTGGTGAAAAAGTTGGCTGATAAGCCTGATAAGCCGAAGAAAGGTGTTTCCAGTCGGCACCTAGTTTTGAGAATTATTGGTTTGATACACATATAATACAGAGTACTCCCTCCGTAACTTTAAAATCTTCCCACTTTCCTTTTTCGTCCGTAACAAATTAAAAAAATCTTCTCATTTCTAAATCTTCCTATCATACCCTCAATAATTTTGAAAATAATACACTATTACAACTACCTTTTTTGGATTTATCCTACATTCCATCACCTTATTCCACTATTTTCCTATCATACCCTCAATAATTCATATTCTCTTTCACTATTCTTAATCTACCTACTTTTCAAATGGGAAGATTTTAAAGTTACGGAGGGAGTATATTATAATCTTCACAATAGATAAAGTACGAGTGAATATGACATTATTATGAGAGTTTGGGAATATAACTATACTATTATGAATTAACTTATTATATCAATTCCAAGTTTATATGATACTAAGTTTTCAGAAGAATAAAACTTTTTACTTGTATTGAATTACAAAAACGATAATATAATGAATCGAAAGTATTTCAACGTTCCACGTTCTTAAATTTTCAGGTGGTCAGTCAGTTGACCACCTGACATCCTTGGCTCCACCCCGTCTGATCTACTCTGTATTTTTCTCTTACCAAAACATATACCAAATCAAACTATTTCTTATTCTTCCTCTTTTTCTAGCTTGTCACCAATTTTGTTCTTTCTCATCTGTGTATTCCTTTGTAAATCTCACAAAGTTACTACGTGTGGAAAACATTAAGCACTCATGAGGAGTCCCACCGTGGCAGAATTTGCACCTCTATTAGAAATATTAATAATAATTAAGTAACTAATCCCTTGGCTCGAAACTGTTTCGCTAAATCCAGAAAGTGCAGTAGGAATGACGCGCCAGCAAATGCGTCTGAACTTAAAAGAAGAAATTTCCATTTTTTTGAATGGTCATTGTCTCGAGCCCAGTTGACTGTTCATTTTTGTCGCTTAATATTTATGGAGTATTAGTTTATCATTATCAAAAACCAAAACGTACACTTTCTCCATTTTTCTGCAGGTGACCTTCCTTCCTTCGTCTTCTTTAATTCATTTCCCTCTCAAAGAACAGAATTTATTTGCAGATTTTCCTTCTTTAATGGAGAAACCCTCAAGCGTTCAGCAAAAGAAAGCGTTGAAGCAGACGAAAACGACGACGAAAAGTTCCAAGCAGCTCAAAGTTGTGTACATATCAAACCCTATGAGGGTCGAGACAAGCCCGTCGGAATTTAAAGATTTGGTCCAGGAGCTCACCGGCCAAGACGCCGACGTGCCGGACGCATCCAAGTTCCCGGCGGCGACCCAGAGTCCCGGTGCCTCCGGGGAGAAGCCTGCTGTGGTGTTTCCCGACGGAGGGGGCAAGGTCGTGGCGGAGGAAGATCTTTCCGGCGAAGGGAGACCGGCGCCGGAGAGTTCAGATCTCTCGTCGGAGGCGGGGCAGGACTACGTGCCGGAATTGATTGAGGCTTTTCCGGCGGGGGTAATGCCGTCCAACATGTGGTATGATTGATCGTACGTAGTATTGAATATTTTAATGTGATTATTATGATGGAACTGTCATTAATTGCTTATTTTGTAATGTTGGAGAGGAAAAAAAAAAAGATTTTTAAAAAGAGAAGAGAAAAGGAGAAGTGTTGTGATTTTATTTGTCCGTACGAATGAATGGAAGAGTGTTGAACCCTAGCTAGTTTGCATGCTACTCTATGTCTAGGGTTTCATTTGGTATTTCTGCACGTTTCTGTCGGTGGTGCTTGGTGGTGCTAATGGCCAGACCACCATTACCTTTTGGCTACATTTGATTGGTTTGCAAACCTGTCAAGTGAATCAATATCTATGTATACAAACTAAATTACCAATGCAAGTATATATTCTTATTTCAAGGTTGATTGAGGGGTTTACAAGGTTGGTTTGTACTTACTCTAGATTAATTCAATTTGATTTATTAAAGCATTTACAAATTATCTTATGAAAAATGTTTTTGGATTTGTCTTGATCTAAATTTCAAATATGATTTTATCATTTGCATTAGTAATTAATTAAATATATAAATGGTCAACATCCTGCTTTGAGAAGTATGAAAGTCAAACCCGTGCAACTAATTAGGAACATATGAATTGAAGTACTCTATAATTTACATCTCTTCTCAATTTCACTAAAAGAGTACATTAATAAAGTGAGGCATGATTTATTTTGCAAATCTTGTGAGATACTCTTATAATTATCTTTATTGAATAACATGACATCTGACTTCTTTAGGAATCACAAGCTCACATGACTTTTGTACACTCACTTACACACTTATAACATAAAGACTCAATACGATATTATGATAATAATATCTTACTCAATTTGCTATATATATCAAATTGTGTGGCTTATTTTGCCCTTGTATGTGGGACTTTTTCACTCTATCTTACTCCCTTACACTAATGAGAAGCCTTCTCGGTTCTCACCCATTGTCCTATATATATCACTCGCAAGGATGCTCTTCACTCACATTCATCATGATTCATGAGACATCTCTGGACTCTCTTCTCTTACAAGAAGACTGACACTCCCCCCTCGAAGAGGTCTCACTCACACCCTTACGTGTTCTACTCAAGTTTCAAATAGGGATGAAGAGTTCCACCCTTCTTATTACTTCTAATCTCTACAACAACATATTAGTCATATCTAGAACTTTATATTCTCATCTACGTACACTTCTAGAGACTTCTAAGATGTATCCACAATCTTCTATAATCTTCTGGGAAAATTTATAGAACTCTATATTTCTTGAATGTTGTAAAGGATTCCATGCACTTCCACACGGTTCTAGAAAAATACACAATGTTCTATAATATTTTATACACTTCTAGCTAATTCCACACATCTCTAAAAAGCTCTGAAATATTGGAAAAACATTCAATACTCTTCTACACAATTCTAGCGCATTCTAGACATCTCTATAATATTCAATTCTAGCATTCTCTTGAACCCTCTGTCAATGAGGATGAGGAACCTGAACCATTTGGTGTGGATGACGGGGAACCTGCACGAGCAAATATGCTCAATCTCGCAAGATTTGATTTTAATCACGATCATGGGATATGATTTTTTTGTGAGGTTGATATGATTAGTCTCACAAGACTTTATTGAGGCTTCGAGAAATATTATTCACGAGACATAATGAAATTTGTTAAGATCCGGGGTTCCATCCTAAAAGGTCAACCTACAGTAGTTTATAGCAACGTATGGCTACAGTAGTTTAACATGGTATCAGAGCCAATTCTGGTTGTAGTTTGACGGCTTGTTTAGCACCCGTAATTAAGGGTAGCTTGTTAAGGGTTTGTTTGGCCCGTTTATACACCCCGATATTGTCCAGCCTGGTTCAGGCTGAGAGGACGTGTTAAAGCTTTTGTCCCACACCGGAAAGCTATAAAACAATTAAATACTATATAAGGCTTTGGGTTACTCCTTCTATCAGGTTGACCATTTAGGATGGAATCCCAGGTAATTGTTTCCATATGTAGTGTGTGTAATTTTGTTGGTGTTGACACACCAAGTGAGATTAGCACGCAGTTATGTCCATCTCTAAGTAGTTAAAATTATTCAGAATAATTAACAGAAATTTGTGCAGTTGTATACTTGTATTTATGAGTAGGTATTAGTTTTAGAGCCCGTTTGGAGAACTCTGTTTTCGGCTTATCAGGCTTATCAGCCAGCTTTTTCACCAAACACGTAACTTTTACTTTCGCGCGCTGAATTGTGTAATAAGCCGAAAAAGTAAGGTTGGAGTTACTTTTCTGGCTGTATTGGCTGAAGTTACTGTAGAGGACCATTTTAGCTATTTTTACATATAATTTTTTCTTTAATTTATTAATAAAATATATTTTTAAAATATTTTTTTCTTAAATCAGCATAATCGGCCAAAACAGCCACTCCAGCCAGAATATCATAAATTTCAGCAGAATCAGCCAAAACAGCCGATTTTGATGCTACCAAACGGGCTCTTAGACTATTACCCCTATTGAAAATCCTACGTCACCAATGTTGACACATGATCCAAAATATTTGGCTGTGTCGTTTCCTTGTCTACTTTTTGGAACATATCTTTTCGGTTAAATTTCTTAGGCCCAAAAGTTTTGTTTTTGCAACTCAAAAGTTTTAGATTTTGAAAACACATAAATGAATGAGGTTTTAAGTTTTTATTTATCAGAAATTGTCCTACGTAGGAGTAAAAACGTTTTGAAATTCCAAAATAGGAGTATCATGTTTTTTATTCTCTGAAAAAATGCCATGTTAAAAGCCTTATAATGCCAAACTTGGCAGACATTTACTCCTATTCGGGGAATAAAAAACATGATACTCCTATTTTGGAATTTCAAAACGTTTTTACTCCTATTTAGGGAATTCTCTATTTATTTATTTATAGTAAAAAAACATTAGTATGAGTGTATGAGCAATTTTGATTGATTTAGATTGAATTGATTAAACGATGCATAATTGTTTTATTATTGTACTGTACTTTTTATGAACTTATAGAAGAGTATAACGACAAGCTAACAACTGGTTGTTATCCCAAATGGGGCCTAGGTTAGCTTATTCTAGTTTTCATTGTCAGGCTAAACTAGTAGCATAGCATACACAGTTACACTTAGCTCCAGTGGTAATTAAGATGTGTATGCTAAAACTCGGGCAATATTGTTCCATAATTCTCACATAGCTTCGTCTAACCACTACAGGTTAGGGCTTGATCTTCAATGACCGTTTTCTTATTTTCACCCGCCTAAGCATACTTGTTTTATTTTTTTGAGGTCTTCTTATAATAGTTTCATCTTATTGTAATTCAGGAATAATTCAATATTTGCACCTCATCTTCATCCACTGGTCCCTGACCGGTTGATGACCTGCTATTCCAGAGTAAAAATGTTATATTCATGGCATTTTCCGAGAAATATTGCAGTATTTACACAACATAGAGTGTACTTTTAGTCATATTTTGGAAAGATAAATAACATAGTCATAATTGTGCATTTAGGGATTAGTTTAGTCCTAATTTGGGGCTATTTTCTCAAAAATTATTAGTGGTGCAATCAAGTTAAGAAAAGAAAAAAGTAATCCGAAAAAATATATAAAAATGAAAATGAAATAATAAATGGAAATAAGAAAAAGAAGAAAAATGGAATATATAAACATTGAAAAAAATTAAAAAAATTGTAAAGAAATAAAAATAAGAATAGGAAGACCAAAAGGGGGAATAAAATAGTCAAGACGATAAAAATAAAAAGCGAAAAGTTTTAGGGAGAAAAAAGAAAATTGATACGTAGGACCGCTTGGAGAAGATTTGTGAAAAGTGAGATTTATGGTTTAAGTTTTGCAAAGAAAAGAAAATAATCTGGAATAGCAAATCATCAACCGGTCAAAGACTAGCGAATGAAGATAGAGATAAGAATCTAAAGAACCATGAAAATTAATGGAAAATGATGCTGATTAATAGTAGTATTTGTATTTTTGCTTCTACTTCTGATAATGGAAAATAATGTTTGAGAAGGAAAATGATTTTTGAAAAACTAACGGTTATAGTGTTGGGTACAAGAATACATTTTATGTAATATAAAAAGTTAAAAATGTTTAAAGCTTCTAACTTTTAGCGTTAATGTGCTTAATGTTAGCAGAAGCAGTTGTTTAAAACACCTTTTAAGCTCGGAGGAATTTGACTTTGAACCCATTTTTTGGGGTGATATTGGACTTTGAACCCATTTTCAAAACCATTAATATGTGTAATCCATTAATATAAATTATACTAAGTATGACTTTACACCCTCATGCCCTCACTATTTTTGGGTGATGAGGTGCATATATGTTAATGATTATGAAAATGGGGTGTATAGTCCAATACCATTATAAAATCTGAGGTGTAATGTCAAATCGCCCCTTTAAATAAAATAAGGTCTTAATGTGTGAAATCCTTCGCATGGATTTTTACATGTATTCGTTGCACTTTTTTATGTGTAGTGTAATGCACATTTTGACGTTTTGTCAAAAATCATGTATTTACAAAAATGTCATTGCACTTTAGTCAAACACGTTGTGGCAATTTTGTAAATAAGTGATTTTTTAGTCCAAAAGATTTCACACGTTAATCCATCTTTTTATTACAACCAACCCCTACATATAATATTAGGATCAAATAAAAAAACTTAACGGTAAAATCATTCACACTCACTTTTACCTGTATCATTGCACTCTCTATGTGCAATGTAACGCACTTTTTGACGTTTCGTCAAAAACTCACTTATTTAAAAAATTGTCACCGCGTGTTTGACTAAAGCGCGATGACATTTTTGTGAAAAAATGTTTTTTAGCATAACGTCAAAAAAGTGCACTACACATTTACACTGCACATAAAGTACACTAAATACATGTAAAAGTGGATGGGAATGATTTTACATTTTAGGTCTTTTTTAATTTAACCAACCTCTCTCTCCCTATATACTACCCTGTACCCCCGTCCCGGTGGACTTTGCCAAGTGCAAAGTAGATGAGAATTAATAAGGAAAAATTCACATGAATAATCCCAACTATCAAGTGTCTTCCCATATTAATCCCAAATATGCGTTATTCTAAAATAATTCAAAGTTCACATGTCATCTTCTCAGATTGATCCCAAGCTACCTGAAACCTATTGAACTGGTAAAAACTAAAAAAAAAAAGCAAAAACAAGGAATAGGTGGACGACTGAAACAAGAGGCCGTTCATATACTTGTTTGGGGACAGTTGGCCGGCCGGCAAATGGAGGAGCAGATGGCACGGTCAGCAAGGAGAAACAGACCTCCAATATCTTCTCTCTGGCCCCTTACTCGATCTATTCAAATTGATGTCTCTTCACTCAACTGGGAATCTCCCATCGCTGCTGGAGTCATGGAGACAAAGTTAGTGACAACAACAATCTAGGGATGATGAAGCACATTCAACTATCTCCCT